AAACCCAGTTGTTCCCCTGATAAAATTGATACGCTTTAATAAGAAAAGATAGGTCTTAAAAAACCCCTCAAGATATCCCCTCAGACCGAATTGTTTTTTTAAAGATACATTTTAATGTTCAAATTTCCATTGTGGCATGATAAAATAGTCCAGTGAAATATACAGAATTTTATGCCAAATCCATGTGACATGATATCAGTAAATAGACCCGTAATTAAATATAAAAAAAATGCCAAAATCCATGTGACATGATACCAATGCTGGACCAGTAAAAACATAAAGAATTAATGCCACAATTAATGTGACATGAATATCAGTAATATAGCCAGATATATATACAGAATTATTCAAAAATTCATGTGACAAGATATAAATAATGGACTAGTAGAATACACAGATTTATGCCAAAATCCATGTAACTTTATGTCAATAATGCACCAGTGAAAATACAGAATTATGCCACAATCCAAGTGACATGGTATCAATAATGTTCCAGTAAAAGAAGCATAATTATGTCACGATTTATGTGACATGATATCAACATGGTTCAGTAAAATATTTACAGAATTATGGCTCAATCCATGTAACACGAAATCAATAAATGGATCAGTAAAATGTACAAAAAATTATTGCCACAATCCATGTGACATTGATTACCCAGTGCTGGACCCAGTAAAATATAGAGACTTATGCCACAATCCATAGAACATGATATCAATAATGGACAAGTAAAACTATAGATTAATGCCAAAATCCACGTGACATGATATCCATTATCGACGACTGAAATATACAGGTAAGTGCAAAAAGATATTGCTATTAAATAGAAAAACGATCAATTAATATATATTAGAAAAAAAAATTGTTATACCCGTCAAGGGAATCATAGGTTATCTTGATTTCAGTATATGTTCTATTGTGAAGTTGTTTTTAGGTATTCTTAAAAATAAATTGTAAAAATATTTTGTGATGTGGTCTTGCAAATACGACTGGGTTTAATATTATTCATCTTTTTTCATTATAAAACTAATAATTATTATTTTGTAACAATTTGATTATTTGAGAAATATTTCTGTAGTTCATTTTCAGTGGTAACGCGTCAGACTAGCAATCTCAGTGACAACCCGTTGTTTCCTTGAACAAGAAACTTTACATTCATTGCTAAGTACTGGTTGGTTCCAGAAACAGATTCGCGAGTGTTTCAATTCTACAATTAACTCTCTTAGTAGGGGCGTCCGTGGCCGAGTGGTAAAGGTAGATGACTTCAAACCAGTTGCCTCTCATCATTGTAGGTCCAAATTGCGAAAGCGTTGCATGTCCAGCTAGCTGATGTGCCGAATTTTCATGTACTAGGGTTGACAATGCTATGATATGAATATATTTCAAGTAAATGAAAAGTAAAAGTAAATTTCAAGTAAGATTCGAAAATCATCTTTATGATACTTTTATTTTTTTGCTAAGATTCTTAGGCCAGAGGAAAACCGAATATCATTTATAAATAAAGCCTTTAATATTGACTTTAGCAATTAACTTTATTGTTTATATTATCTCTTAGTTTAAACATTATTTACTTCATCTCCATACCGCATTTATAGTTTTAACATACATTTTTACACATGTATATATAAAAACAATGGTACTTGTACAAAAGGGTATATATCCGTTGTTACTTACAAATAAGACTCACATTTTTGCTCACTGTTTTTTCTTTCTTATTTTTGTTAACGTTGTTACTGTATTTGTAATTTGTATATTATGTATCTCTCTTCATTCTTGGAGGGAAATAAAGAAAATCTTTATCTTATCTTAATATTTTATCTTACCTAGAATTACCATGTTTATGAAAAGGCCTCAATCAAACCGAGACTGCAAAAATTTTCAATTGTACCGGTTTTTAAAAGCGTTCTTTAGGCCCTCTGCTCTTCTCTATTTTACAAAGTTAAAAAGATAGTATGGATAATTGTAAATGTCTAATTAATCTACCGCTTTGTTTGTGATGTTATGAAAAATGACGGACCGCCCTTAGAACGGGCGCATGTTTTATTTTCCCAGAAAAACGTTGTAAAAAGATAAGGAAAAGACAAGGCAAAAAGAAAAACAACAACAAAAACATTTTCTGTAAGCAACATCTAAAAATTGATAAATAGTTTCAGCACACAGACAACACCAAACTTGAAATCGGCCACACAAAAACGTCTCAGGAAATGCGGAATCTTTACATGCCATGCCTAATAAAAAAAGAAAAAACTGGTTTGCGGCTTTTGTTGTATGCATCTTTTGTTACACCTATGAAATAAGAATTATGTGCATAACAATTGTTAAATTCATGGTATACAATTAATTGATTTCAATATCTTTATTAACCAACCTTACAGCTTTTAAAGGACATTTTTTCTTTTAATTGATGGATTTACTTCTTACAGTAAAATAAAAAAAAGCACCAAGTTATGAAAATAAGTACAAATTTAAAGCGTTATTTTGTCACTAAATTTAATGAACGTGATTTTAATAAGTTATCCAATGGTTTATGCTTACAATATACACTATCTTCAAACAATAGCAAAGTATGATGCAACAAATAAATTTTTCTCAATCACTATTGAATACAATTATAATTCTAACATTTTCAAAATTACATGTAATATATATTGTTGAACACAAATTAAAATGTGGGGATGAAATGTTTCAATTAAATTTCTTAAAATGAGGGTGAACTATCTAAGTGGTTAAGTGTCTGCAAAAAAATGGCCTAGGGTGAACTGTCTGAGGGGTGAACAGCCTGTAAATCGTTCGAATTCGTGATGATTTCCTTCTCCATATTGGCTTTCCGGCGTTTAAAAATAGAAACAGAAATCAAAATTATGAAAGCTCGCCGGTAATTGGCTGTTTGAAAGATCTCGAGAATTGACTCCGTATTTGGTGATGGTCAGATCTAAATGCATAACGTTATTTACAGCTGATTTAAAACAGATTGGGTGCATATATGACCATTTAAACTGGAGATACGAAAAATTACTCTTTTATATCAAATTGATAAGGTAACAGATGACAGCACATTAGATTTTTCACTGTCATATCTACACAAATATACAAGTAAACTCCATATGGTCGAACTCGGATTGCTCGAATAACTTCATTTGCTCGGAGTAGTCTCCTGCACAAATCAATATCCCTTTATAATGTTCATGTTGTGTACGAATAAATTTCAAAATTATAGACAATTTAAGATTGTGTCCAAAATTTATATCTAGAGCATATATGGTGAAGTAGTCCAAAACAGCCAAGGTAGATCTTTCAAATTTTATTGGTTGTTATTTAGACCTGCGTAAGTGTGAGATGTCCCTCCTTCTCCACCGTGTAAGACTCTCATACTGTGATTGGCTTGAAATCAGTGATATGAATAAATAATTTAAAAACGCCTGGGGTACTAATATAAGACGCGAAAATGTTATAAATGTTTTAATTATTAAAGAAATTAAGATAAAAATAATTTCGTGACAAATATGTTATTTGTATGTAAATTCCTTATTCTAATTATTTACTAAAACATTATTGACAACAGTGTTTACTATAGTTTTTTAAATTTCATTGGGTTTAGGGTTTATTCCCTTTTTTGGTTTTGCCCTTTTTAATTTGCTGAAACTGGGAAACCCGGGAAAACAAAATAGCATAAATATTGGACACTTGTTTATAAAATAAGTGACAAGGGAAAATGCAATGCTAATTTGTATACATTAAATATATTGGATTTCATATGGTTTATGTTGAAATAAATCAAATTAGCTTTAATGAATTTAGAAATGATCCATGCATATAACTATATTGCTAGATGACCTTCAGGAACAAATAACAATGACCGAGTTTTATATACCAGAAATTTTACCGATATGATAACAATAATTAATAGTTTATGCAAAAGTTTTCCAATATCATTTGTTGACCAATCATCATTATTTATGACAGTAAATCGTTTGTAATATATAAGCAATTAAGCTTATTTTGAAAATGAAAATATGAAAAAAATGTCACTATAAATAAATTATTTAAGTTTAAACCGATTAAACATTCAACTTTACACATTGAAATACATATACAGTATTATTTGTCTTAATAAAGTCAAAATATACGAGTATGCAATATTATAAACACGCATGCCATTTATTAAATGTGTTAGATTTTAAAGTTTGCAATTCATCTCATATGGAAGGTTGAAGACTGGTTTATGAACTTTCTCCAGTAAATATACAATTTTAATTGTTGATAAATTGATAAAAAATAATAAAGAATATTAAAAAAGTACTTAAAGACTAAACAAACTTACTATACTTAAAATGAAACAGCCATTTTCTTATTATTTCTACTAAGTTTTTAATTAAGCGAAAGTAAAATGCTAAATAAAGCAACATAATGTTAAACCCGGCAACTTTAGCTTGATAATAAGCGAAAAGTGATGTATATTATTTGTCTTTTCATTAACATGTTAGAATTGAAATGACATCGAACTTGTTTGTGCTTATCTAGTATATACAACTTTCTGTCGCTTTGATGCGGAGATATTAAGACCTCCAGTTAACTGTCTTCGTGATCAATTACTACGCATCAAAACGATAGATGGATCGTAAAAACCTAAAGTTACCTCTCAGACCGATATTGTTTCTTTAAAATACATATAAATGTCAGTCCCATGTGGCATGATAACAATTATGGATCAGTAAAATAAACAGAATAATTCAAAACTTCATGTGACATGATATCAATAACGGACCAGTAAAATACACAAATTAATGCCAAAATCCATGTGACATGATATCAACAATGGACCAGTAAAATATACAGATTAATGCCATATTCCAAGTGACATGATATCAGTAATACACCAGTACAATATACAGATTAATGCCATAATCAACGTGACATAATATCAATAATGGATCACTAAAATATTCAGTTAAGTGCAAAATTTCATGCTATTAAATAGCAATAACGATCAATGAAATAGTTCGCAATGTAAATTAGAAAATAATTGTAATACCGTCAAGGGAATCATAGGTTATCCTGCTTTCAGTATCTGTTCTATTTTGAAGTTGTTCATAGGTATTCCTAAAAAAGAAATTATAATAAGATTTTGTGATGTAACCTTGCAAATACGGCTTGGTTTAATATTATTCATCTTTTTATTATACTAATAATTATTATCATTTTGTAACAATTTGTTCATCTGGAAATATTTCTGTAATTCATCTGTATGATCTTTCATCATAAAGTGTATTTAATAATTATGTATATTTAGATGTAAGTGAAAAAAACATTGAAAAAAAACCCCCCAAAAATATCATCCATCTTAAAAAAATAAAATCAATAAATGATGGCTACTCACGGTGAAAGTGACGAAACGTTAAATTCTGTTTCTCGTGACACTGATGTTCGCTGATGTTGATTTTGATTCTTCGGGCCTGTTTTAAAAAAAAATGGGTTATCAGTTTTTCTCTTTTTTAAAAACAAAATCTGGACTGTTTTATGAGTATCAAATTTCGGTGTCATTAGTCTATCATATTATCGAATGACTAGTTCACATCACGACCTTTCAAATACATTTTAACTTTCTAAAGTAATATTCGAAAATCACAAATTGATATTTAACAAGTTAATTAAAAGTACCTGTTACTGTTCGATTTCTATTTAAAATAACCAATGTAAAAACCACGCCAATAAGAACACCAACAATTAGTGAGGTAATGACAATCGCGGCGATAACTGCTGCTGATATACTTATCTCATTCCCATCTGCAATAACAATAGTATACAGTTATTTTATGGGTGTTTGTGGAACAGTCTAAACGGTTGCCCCGAGGTATCAGGGATCACATTTTGAATGTTGCAAATGGCATCACTGATACCGAGTGACACCAAACATCCATGAAATAATTGTATTATTACCTAAAACTTTGCCATCAAAATACAATTTATATTGTAACAACATACTAATAGCATTATTACAACTGTTTTAATTGTTTACAACTGAATACTACAGACGAACCACTACCGTACATTAAGCTGAGCGACGTTTGATAACAGAAATACCCTAAGACGTCGACAGGGGTGAAGCAGTAAAAAATATTGGCAGGTCAACAGTTCATTTCATCATTGCGCATGTACAGGATTTCAGCGTTCATTAATAAGGAATTAGTTTTTATAGAGGGCATAAGGTAATAACACTATATAGGTCTTTTAACATAGTACGCAGAGAGTTTATGAGGTAGATGCTATTCTTACTTATTTACTAAGAAATGATCTAAGCTATACATAATTTGATGCTATTATAACAGTTATAATTGGTAAAATGTTCTTTCCTTAAATTTGGATTGACTATCAAAAGAGTAATGTTTCTGTTATTAAACTCACATGATTTATACGTTAACAGCATAAAATGTTCTTGAAGAAAATATTATGTTACTATTTTAAGCAATGATTTTGTACACGTGACCTAAGCCAGTAAGAAAATATACTTTCATATTTTCTTTTATACATGTATTTTGTTATTTTTTTTATAATTTTTTAACAGTAGGTAGCAGATATATAGCAATGAGAGACGCATGCTTTGAGAATATATACAATGATGAATCGAAAGAGATTTTAACAACAACACGATGATAATTATTTTAACTATCGTTTTTAAATTGATCTCAAGTCCTTTATTCGTGATAATTATTGTTGGTTTTTAAGATATATGGGGCCATTTTAACTGCTGAGATACACATCAGAAAGTTCTTGAAAGAATTTGCAGCTGCCAATCTACAATAGCTGCCAATCTACAATAGAAGAGCACTGAAGTTATTGTTTTACCTGTTGTTATCATATTATTGCCTGAATCTTCACTGCCTGGGTTATCTGTAAAAGAAAAGGAAGACTTAAATCTATGAATTATATATAGAACAGATGTACTGATTTTCAAAAAAAAAAACCTTATTTGTTTTTGTGCATACTTTTATTAATGTTATCCTTTGTCTTGTAATAATTCTAGAGCTTGTAAGATAAGAGGTCTGTGGTTGGTTAATATATCTGTTATATTGAATCCTGAAGATGTTGCTGTTCAACCTAAATTATCAAAACTGACATATAAAAATTTGAAGGTATTCAAAATAGTCTTCATTACGTGATGAGTAACAGACCTTTGATAGAGTCATAGGAAGAGAGCTTTTGGTCTATTTTACATCCTTGTAGGAACCAACTTAATATATACAAGGATGCTTTATATCAGGTCTTTAAATCCTTTTGTTCATGGGTAACAGCAAATGTGTGCGTTTTACGTCACGTTATAGAGTACTTACAGATTGTTAACAATTAAATAACGGGTAAAAGAGATTTGCCAATGTGTTGCAAACTCAAAGAATACAATTTACTTAAGATTTCATGGTAGTTGAATGTGAATAAAATGTCAAGACGTTTAATCTTTTTTACGTGCAGTGACTCCTTAAAGAGACCAACCAATTTCTTGTCCAAACCGTCTTAAAATATACAGATATATGAATCCTTTAAACAATTTTAAAGTTCAATTTATATTCATGTACGTTGTATGTTTTTATATTGAATTCATTCCGAAAATATTTTCAGAAAAGCTGACTATAAAAGTCAATGATCACATAAATTGTACAAACTTGATAATTATTCATAGGTCTTTAAATGAAAAGTTTAAATTAAAACGACTTTCTCTTGTTGCTCTGACAATATATCTTACTATCAGGTCATGATATTATCTTTTATACACAATTTCTCAATGTTATAGATAACTTACTGACGTCAGTATAAAATCTCGGATTGTTTTCTGAGGTATAAGAGCTCCCATAAGGATCTCCACTAACAGTAACAAAACAAGCAAATGCCAGATTGTTTTCCCTATAAGCATCAGCTACTGTCACGTTGTACTTGATTGAAGCAACTCGGATATATCCACACTGGTTGTCACTATTAGCAGTGCCCTCATCAAATGTACCTTGTGGTGGTTGATATCCAATCAATTCATTGCTTGTGGAAGTTTCAGATGTTCTATGCCATCGAATCATTGTTTGTGAAAACCTCCTATTTGAGCAGTACACGTAAGTTCCAACTCATCTCCTACCTCAGCAGTGGCCATGTCAGATGGTGACATTCCTTGTACAATGAAACCATTCTTCCTTGCAACTAATGACGTCACTTGAGGTTTAACTGTTATGATAAATGCACATATTACAAAGTTTCAAAAGAAATGTGTACGTAGGCATAGAGCCCATACACAACATTGGTACAACACATTACAAATGACATTCAATCATGATGTAATCCTTACGTTAAATTTTATTTTCTTATATTTTACTCCGTTATTAATGCCTATGTTCCTATGTTTGGGGTAAAAATGACCAAGATCGCAAACCGTAATATAATTAGATTTCTGATATATTCATTGTGTACCACATTTCTTGTGATCAGATGTTTTAACAGGTTTACCTCATCCGTAGTTACCAGTAGACTTCTTTATGTTAAACAGTAATATTTAGATATAAAAGTCAAACCTTAATTTGAATCCTCCGTGTGTAAGTCAATTGGCCTTTCAAGTCTTATATTTTCAAAATTTATTCAAAACGATCCAATACCTTTGAAATATTTTAATTATTCCACGTTTAGAGCTAACATCACATAATGTCACTATATGGTACCATAGTGATCTTTACGCTAAAAAGTATTGGGAAATCGCTTTGTCAAAATTCATAAACAAGTATGGCTAAATTTGACTACGAAACCTCTTAAAGACAAGGAACTAGGGATGGCAACGGACACAATCAAAGCACAGAAGGCGCTGAATTTGTTTGGGTCTCAGAATATCAGAAAGGTTAAGGTTGTGAGATTAAAAAACAATTTTGTTTTTGTATAGTGCCACCAATGCTTTCAAGCGTTTTAATTGTAGTAGATTGGCTATAAGACTAATTGCAACACTGATATTCGATCCAATGTTTATTTGACTTAAACAATTTGAAAAAAAATGAATTGCCTAAACTGGGATTTGAACTCCAGACCTCTCGCTTCCTAAGCGAGCGCGCAAAAAAAGCGGACTACTTTCGGCACTTGAAATTAACAGCATTAGAGTCTGAAATTTCGCTACCATTATTTGTTTGGTCTGACGACCCAAACAAATAAAAATCAATACTCGAGTACTCGGTCATTTTTTCCGATCGAGTACTCGGTTACTCGGATGATTTCCTTTATCTCACAGTATCAACACCGTCCGCATGCTGCTTTCGTATTATTTAAATTCATAGAATTATTAACTATAAAGAGGATTGCACGGGAGACAAATTAATTAAAATTAATTCAACAACAATATATTTGACAACGTTTTAATTAATGCAATATCAAGTTTAAAACATGTATAACATTTCATATATCTTTTTTCGTTTTGAAATAATATTGACTGATCGGCAGCAACAAAAGTTTAAAAGGGGTCTCAATACTATAGTTACCTTTATTATTACATTCATAATAGCAATCGGCTTCTTGTTGTTTTTAAAACAGTTACTTCCGCTACAAACTGTTACACAATTAAAGGTAACTGAATATCATAAAAGATGTATGACATAGGCGACACAGGTGCGCGTGTCAAACTGTTGATCGTCTTGTTATATTTATGATATACTTTTCGCTTTGCAAGGATGTTTTGATTGCATTGAACAGGTATTTATGAAGATACATGCACATTTCCGAATTTCTGAACTAATTGGACACACCAATCTTTCTAAATCGTTAAATATATGAATTATATATTTTTTTCCGAGTAATCGAATATCAATTTCGTTAACCGATATTCGGGCGTTCGATCAAGTACTCGGTTAACCGGTAACTCGTTGCCATCCCTACAAGGAACAGATGCATTTCATAACTATGAATGTAAAGCAGGCCATATTTAAGGTAAACTGGTTTTCATATCAACATCTGAAAAGTGCACATGTTGGGTCACTGGTTGCTATTGAAAATGAATTCTTGCTACATGGAAAGAATTTTGTTCCTGTCGAAATGATTGGTTGCTTAAGAAAGTCAATGATTGCTATGGAATTAATTAGAATGCCAGGAAAAAATCAAAGGTTGCTAAAAAGGTCACTTGGTACTTTGAAAGTCACTGGTTGCTTTAGAATTTATTGGTCGCTTTGGAATTAACTGGTTGCAATAAAAATCAGTGGCTATGTAAGTCGGTGATTTTTATGAAAATTGAACGGTCGCTTTCATGTAGCTATCGGGTTAGGTGGTTGTTATGGAAGTTACATTCACTGGTTTCTATGCAATTTACTGTTGCTATGGAAATCAATGTTTGGCAAAGGAATATTATCACATAACGAAAATAAGCTTTAGAAATTCGTTCAAGTCATTTTTTATTTTCTGAATGCATTTTGAATATTCTATAGAATATACCTTTGCTTAGCTTGTCAATGAATGGATACCAATCATTTAGAAAAAGATCCTTTAGTTCCTGCCTTATTGCGAGTTTAGAATCTCTTATTCTCACCATTTTTTTGTAAACCATATATATTTATATCACCGCATTTTATAAACGAATGTTTTAGATGTGCGATCCAAGGATTTTAATTTCATTTAAGATATTCATTTTACTTTACAGATCATACATACATGTATATAATAGTATCAACAATATCGTATATTAGAATTAACACTTTCTTTTGATGAATACCAAAATCGTGATTTTTATATCGACATCAAAACATTACTATTGTTTCATTTAATTCAACGGCAGACGGTCGGTTTCCGCGTACATCAAGTTATATTGTACAGATCACTGCAAATTAAAAAAAAAATATCTTAAAAATTTTAATCAGACTCGTCCAACCAATTTTATATTTCCATAGTCCAATTTTTTCAACCCCGTGTAAAAGAAAAAGTTAAATTGTTTAAAATATGTATTTACTATGTTTTCAAGAATCTTCATATTAAATGTAAAACATGTGGGGTCTTCAAGCGATTCAGATAAAATAACAGTATAGTCAGTGTAGAGTAATATTGATATTTTTGCATTGACAGGCACTTTAGTTTTAAAATTAGTATTTTCTGTAAAGGATCAATGCTGCGCAGTTTCATCAAAACCTACAGAGTAGTTGAGAAGGAGATTGTTTAATTTTTAGCCTTGACATTCTTATCACATCTTGTTCATTATTCCAAAAAACATTTCAGCAAATGTATAAAATAACCCAAGGATCATTCCTGAATAGTTGGTCAAGCGGTTTAGGAGGATATGTTGTTTACATAAAGATGGTAACGACGGACGGCGATAAAACAATCTCACCTTGGGCACTTTGTGCACTAGTAAGCTAAACATATATCATGATAATACAAACAAGGTCACGTTTGATCAATAAACATGTATATGATATTTATTTAGCCTGTATATAATTGTCGTCTGTCTATAACTATAACTATTTTAGCTCAGTCCCGAACTTTGTGAAAAGCAATTAATTGTCAGACAAGCAGTCTAGATATTATTGCTTGTCAGACCGAACAAGATTCTGTCGATTGAACAAAAATCAAGATTGTTCCACAGAATGCTGTATATTTGAGGCATTTATAGCTACAATCTCATACGATGAGTAAGATACAATCTGGAACGCACCTAATGTAGATCTCTTGTAGATCTCCTGTCTGTGGTGCTTCTAGATTGCTGATCGACCTCCATCATCAGCATGGTGCTCGCCGTCATTGATATTTCGGCCCTTATCCATGTATATCTGCTGGCGAGTGGGCCCACCCTCTTACGGTGTGGAGGTCGATTGCTTCCAGCTCTTCTCCTTTCGTCTCAGCAGCTTGGCTCAGTCTCTGGATTGTCCTACGTTTATCCCTCCCAGTAGTTCCTATTGCTGTGATCAGTCGGCACACAGATTGCGAACAGAACCCTCGCACACCTACTTCAATAGGAAACAGCCATGTATGCCAGCCGCTCTGTCTACATTGGTTGAGTAGCTCTGTGTACTTTGCTTTTTTCCTCTCGTAGGCCTCTTCACATCTTGTCTCCCAAGGTACTGTTTCCGACCACAGTATAATATCTGGTCTTAAGTTGGTCTGGACAATACTTGGGAAAACAAGCTTTTTACCAAGATCCACCTCCATGTTCCAACCTGTTGCGCCATCAGGATTGATGGTTGGTGTGGCGACTGTGTCTTGGCAGTTTCACCCGGTTTCACAAAGTTGATGTGACAAAGCTTGGGGTTACTCCTGCGTTCCTTTTTCCGTTCACCTTCAAGCCAGTCAGTCACCTCGCTAAGGACGTTGTCATGACGCCATCTGTACCTTCCTTGTGTTAGTGCAGTGGAACAGGAAGAAAGGACATGCTCCAGAGTGCCAGGACGATCGCACAGGTCACATGCTGGATCCGTTGTAAGTCCCCACCGGTGGAGATTAGCTGGGGAGGGTAAGAGGTCGTGAACTGACCTGATAAGAAAGGATAACCGTAATGGTTCATACTTCCATATGTCTTCCCAAGTCAGCTTCCTGTCTATGGTGTTCCATGTAATCCATGCTCCCTGTGCTCCCATCTCTACTGCTCTAGCCTGTCTTGCACTCTCCTCTGCCCCCCTGACTTCTGACTGAATCATGGCACGTCTCTCCTTCTTGTCTGCCTGGTTCCACAGGGGTGTCTTGGTAGCACCAATTCCCTGTCGTCCCACAGCGGTCAATCAACAATGTCCTTGAGCTTAAGTGAGCTTTCAGCCTGGTTAACGGTCTCTGATGCTGACCACTTCCTGCCTGTACGGGTTACAATCCCTGCTTCCCGGATTTGCTCATCTGGAGAATCTCTGAGGGTGAGCACCAATCTTGTCTTCGCTGTCTTGAATTCCTCTACCAGTGAAGTAAATGGGAGTTGAAGCTGATTGCTCTTTCCATACAGTCCTACACCGGAGAAACTGGGTGGTATTCCTAACCACTTGCGGAGGTGTCTGCTTGTAACCCTCTCTAAGGCTTCAATTTTTGAGCTTGGTATCTCATACAGCATCATAGGCCAGATTAGCCTTGGAAGTAAGGCATGCTGGTATAACCAGGCTTTGAACTTCCCAGGGAGATTGCTTTTATCAATTTTCTTAAGCCCGTCTTCCACCTGGTTTTCTAGCTTCTTGACATTGTCACCGTCTTGCAAGCTTGCATCAAACCACTTCCCTAGGCACTTGATTGCACTTGATTGGACTCTGTATTCTGAGAATGAAACTATCTGTGGTTATGCCATTCTTGATAATGAGAGATCTAGACTTAGCGGCCTTGAATTTCATTCTAGCCCATGAAGCGACATCTGTCAGGGCTGTTAACATCCATCTCGCCTGTACATGGGTGGTTGTGGTGAGAGTGAGGTCATCCATGAAACCTCGACTGGATGGCAAGATGTGTAGATCAGCTGGTGTGGGATGGAACTATATGCGTTAGCTAGATCAAGCCAAACTACTGTGAGGTTCTTCTTCCCTGCCTTTGCCTCTCTTATGAGCTGTGAAATAGCGCTTGTGTGTTCTACACAACCTGAGAACCCAGGCACTCCTCCCTTCTGGATGGAGGTGTTGATGTACTTGTTGGATGTGAGGTAAGATGTAAGTCTTCTTGCAAGGATAGCAAAGAAAATCTTCCCTTCAACATTGAGTAATGAGATGGTCCGGAACTGGTTGACATTCTTGGAGTTCCTTTCCTTGGGAGTCAATATTCCCTCTGCTTCCTTCCAGGCATCTGGTATTTCACCTTTCCTCCAAACCACCTTGAGAAGCCTCCATAACCTTTTCAGTAGAAGTGGGCACATCTTATACACTTTGTAAGGGATGGCGTTAGGTCCAGGAGCAGAACTAAATCTTGCTTTCTTGATGACCTCATTCACTTCTCCCAGTGTTGGCTCCGTAGTTACGAGTTCAATCTCTGGAAGTGCTGCTGGGTCTATGCGTTCACAGTCACGTAATGCATTGTTTCTACTAGCATCGGAGTGTGTCTCATGAAGGTATGTTTCAACCTCTTCCAGCGGGGCTTCAAGAACACCCGATCGCTCTTTGTCAAGTAGAGTTCTTGCAAACTTGTAGGGATTGGCTGTAAACGCCATTCTTTACAAAACAGGTCTAAAAACCATCAACATATTTGTTTAAAGTTATTGAAATATGCGGAGACGTATCTTTTATAGACATAATTTACCTTGATAGAGTGTGAAGCAATCAATTGCAAGATAAAAAATTTACAAAACAAACGTTGCATCGTTTTACAATGATTTAACATAAATTAATATATATTGCAAACATTTTAAGCATCCTTCGATTTTTCTCGTCGTACAAGACAATAATTAATCATCTAGTGCCATATAAGTGTACAAGCCACTGGTTACATTTTATCTTTTATTATACATTATTTATACATTTTATTTCAAAAACGCTCAAACTACAATGCGTGGGAAAGGAGCTATAATGCATTAATACACGTACCAGATTTAATAACTCTGTGTAATGTTATCTGTATTTACTCACCATTTGTCACTTTTCAATAAAAAAATGAATTTTGAAAACAAAGATCAATAAGGAAGAAGGATGGTCATATAAAACTGCATGTACACATAATATCTCTTATTATTTTTTGGCCATACTTAATCATAAAAAAAGAATTTTGTAAGGGAAATATATTTCGTTGAAAATTCTGCACTCAATCAAAGATATTTTTATTGATTGTATGTAATTTCAACACGTCAAACATATAATCTAATAGCTACAGACGTTCCGCGTATGAACATTCCAGCTACAATAATTCCTTTTATAAATGATCAGCATAATTGGAGCATCAATAAAAAATTACATTGATGCTATTCACACCATGTTACATAAAATGAATTTCAAATAACCAAATTGAAAAAACACATTATATTGTTTGAATATTCGGCTCAAATTCATATTGCATTGAACGTGAGACGCATATAATTTGAAAACTATTTTATTGTTTTTCTTACATAATGAAAAGTAAGTTCAAAATGCAAAGTTATTGATAAAAACCAATATTGTATACTCGAATCGTATACACGAAAATAGGTTCGCATTTGCAATAAATGCACCTGTCAATTGTCAATGAATAACGCAGATGCAATTGTTTAGATATAAAATTAGTCCAAACTGGCTCCTTTGATGCCTTCTATTCGGTGAACGTCGTTTTGCCTTATTAATCTTTGTTCTCATTTATTTCTGTGAACGTGCCAGGCTTTGTTGGTGTTCTTGGATTTACCGAGGGAAAAATGAGAATAAAGATCAACAAAATGTCGGAAAATTTAGACAAGAACCTAACGTTTTTCATCGGACCGAGGCGATATTTGTTTGTCATGCCCGACTACTTTCACAATTGCTGATCACTATACACATGCATGCTAAGTGCTTTTACAGTTCAATTTACCACTTGTTATATATGGCTCAAAATGGGAATTTTCCTGTAAAATGCCTATTTATAACTTTCAATGTGCCATAATAAAGTAAAATCTAATATCTTAAAAAGCAACGATTAGCAAAATTATGATAAATATATATGTCGAATTCATCGCAAGAGTTAAGGTCATTCGTAAAGTATTGCAATAGTAGCCAGGTTCTATAAAAATCTATGAGCTACACGGAGACCAAACGATCACAAAATTGTAAGAGGAGTAAACTCCTAGGGCTCAGTAGATTAATAGCATTGTCACCATATAAAGATGTTGGACTTTAACGACACCACCAACAACAACAACAACAACGACTAATACTAATTATAATAAATACAATTTCAATCAATGTTTTTATTTAGTCCCTAATAATTTTAAGAAATATATGAAGGGTGTTCAAATATATATACAACTAGGCCAATATTTCGCTTTTAATCACATTTTGCACGAACTATGTACATTTATCCAATAGATGGTTGTGAAAGCTCTCAATTGATACAATAATGTGTAAATCAATTCTGTCTAGCGTTGACAATAGCTCGATTAACGTATCTACAAGTATATACTGAAGCTTAAATGATTGGGAAAAGGTATCTTTTCCTGGCAAAATACGACCCTTTATCATCTTGGTATACAGGTGAGAGACATATTCAATGAAATGCGTCGTGTTATGGGAACTATGAACTTTTTCATCTGTCACACGGTGTAAGAAATTAAAAAGTGGTGTGGACTCAGTAAAAGATGCACCTCATGCACGCTGTTTGAAACTGCAACTTCGCCAAGAAAGGTTGAAAAAGTAGAGGATTTGATTGCTACTGATGCAAGATTCACAACTAAGTATATAGCTAAATGCGTTGATATCTCTGTAGGAGCCGTTCGCGTGATGCAAAAATAAGAAGAATAAGTGTCGGGTGGATACCCAATCTCAGAGCAAAAACTTGCTCGGGAAGAATCTGCAAAATATTGTTAAAACAGTTTCTAAATACAACAATCGGTCTTTCGCAACCATCACTGTCTATAAGACATGCAAACCCACCATGAGCGTCAAAAAGGTCATGTATGTAATTTTCTTTACCAATCAAAGTCCTGCTATTAAAATTGCAATGCCGAATGGTAAATCTAAATCATGCAAGTTTTACAAAGGCAATGTTCTTCATGAATAAAATAAATATTTCAAAAATCGTCGACCAGCAACTGGTCTCCGTAATGTCAGGTTGTTGGATGACAACCATTCGTCACACAAAGCGGTCATTATACAAAGAATACCACTTGTGACGTTTACCTATTTCCGAGGCTAAAAACGCACAAAAACCATTGCTGGAAGAAAAAATCAACCGCAAAAAATCTCGGTTCGTCTATTTTCCATTGTCTGAACAATATACACCGGAATATTTTGAAAACGCATTTAAAAATTGGATTCAAAGACTAAACTTCTGTATATCACATGATTGTGTGTATTTTGAAGGATTGAGATAATTATTTTGGCACTGTTTGTTAAGTTTTCTGAAAATTGACTTAGTTGAACACCCCTCGTAGTTATTCAATTTCATTTATTTTTGATAAAGAACAATGCATTATTCAATTAAGATAAGATAGTAAACGGTAAACATTTGTTTCAGGACTAAGTCTAGTATAGTGATTTGTTTGAAGGCTGAGTCTTAGAGTACTGACCGGAATAGATACAATCAAAGTATATACAAGTCAAAGAGTGATCCCAGCCAACAACCAAGCTCAGAACAATTCTTTACCCAGTGAAATAATTTATTACATTTTTGTTGAAGTTGAATATGAGCTGCATACCAAAATTTTAATATTAAAGCTGCCATATCATTTTAGGAATTCTCGAGAATAATTTCAAAGGTTTAATTTTCAGAGCCTTATTATGGTTCATTGATATAAATCAGATTATGCGTCATTTAATCATTTTCTAAAATATTCTTTGTAGAGGGCCATCTAAGGATCACTCCAGTAAACATTCATTATGTGTGTTTAGAGAAAAAAAGTGTTAAACGAGCGGGTGGGTAATGCAGGTCAGCAGATAGCAGACAACAATATATTACCCATAGTCACCTCTGCTGTAAGAATGTCCACATACTAAAATGTGCAAACTGCTGTAATCAGATGAAATAAACTTACCATATGCTGAAAAAGTGGCATTTTTGAAAACTGTTCTCGTAGTTTGTGAATTGTCGTATGACAACTCACATTTAAATGTTTTTGCATCTGCACAGACCAACTTCTCCATGTTCATGTCCAATGTAAGATATGTGCTAGCAGGTGTGTCAGAATTCCATGATCCTCCAGCAATATAATCTTTGTCACTTGCTGTAATACCTGAATCTAAAGTAGGGTTTTCATTGGTGGATATTTTCATGAATGCTAACCTCTGCCAATCATCATCATTATTCCCAAACAATGTAGTGGACTTTATGTGTTGTATCTGGAAGTTGTATATAGTTACAACATCTATTTCAGTGATGTCGCATCTTAAAGTTAATGTTCCTGTACTTCCAAGTAAAACGTTTTCCCTGCTTATGATGAAATCTATACCAGTAACTGAAAAAAAATTGAAAAAAAGAAAGAAATAAAATAAGTTTTTAAGTATCATTTCTAATCTTATATAAATTTTTTTTGCAAGATTTCTACGTTTCTAATTATTGATATCTTGTTTAAGGTACACTTGTTCATAGATTTTCAAGAAAAAAAATCATTTACTGAGGATGTAAAATATTATATTAAGATGGTTGATAAAAATATAGTTTATTACACTTATTACCTTATATAGTAACAAAATGCCAATGATTTCAAGTGATTATGAGTGTCATGTAACCGATTATGAGTTTGCGGCCCGGGGCCGATAACTGATAAACACAAACATTCCGTTGAACATGAGAACGTGCACAAACTGAAGCAATGATGGCATAAAACAGCTAGATGTAAAAGTTAAAGTAGGTTTTAAACACGAATCGCTCTATTTTATGACGAGAACTTCATTTTTTTTCTACAAACATAGATATTTTTATTGCAATTTCAAGCAAAAAATATGACAAATTCAATCAGAGAAAAGGCACAAAAGTTGCATCTTTATTTTGAATAGTGTACTTTGTAACCACATAAGGGAAACAACTCTTTAGAGGTAACAGTACAGTAGAATCTACAGAGGCGGGAATTTCAACAAAAGAAATATCAAAGTAAAATTTAACAAACTGTTACTATTATATACAGTATATCAAGTGTATTAAATACATTAATACACATTAATGCCCTCGGGGCCAGTTTTCATGTTGCGGGCCAATTATCACCTTCAGGCGGTGTACTAATCTCTTAATACAGAACAGAACAGAACAGAACAGAGTTTATTTCATAACTTGTACACACATAGGTACATCGTTATTACAAACATTTTTAAATATAATTATAGGTCACATATTTTACAATTACACATAAAGAAAAAACAAATCAATACAATACTGAGCAATGGGATATTTAATACATACAATGTGATACATTACATACACTGACAAAACTCCATTCATCAATTATATATCCATTTCTTTAAATTACTTCTGTAATGAATAAAGAAGAGTACTAAATTTAAGCGGAGAACAAACTATAACTTCGCTTTTAATCGAATTTGTTTGATAAATTATTTATATAATAATATACTGAAAAAACATCAAGGTATATATAATCAAATCTGCATCATAATACTATTGAAGATTTCTGAAGTAATCATTTCGTTTGATGTTTGCCTTTTTTAAATAATAACATAAGTTTGTAAGTACTTTATGACTTTTAGATTTTAGTAGTGAACTAAAACTAACAATCTGACCAAAACCAAAAACAACACATAATATTCACACAATATAGACATACTAAAATGTAAAAATGTCGCTTAATATATTGACTACGTAGATTTTCATAAGCACTGCATTTTAAAACAAAATGATATTCGTCTTCGAGTTCGTTAGTATCACAGAATTGACGAGTTCTTTCGTGGCGTTCTACACGGCCTCGACCATACCTTCCGGACTCAATTCTTAGTCTGTGGGAGGACACTCGAAGGCGTGTAAGAGCGCTTCTAAAAGATTTACAATTAATCTTATCTAAATATAATTCAAAACAGAACTGATCTTTTACATATGAATATAGATGACTGAGCACACCATTACTAGATACATCTGCACGCCATTCTTGTAAATAACAATCGATAAGTCTTTGTTTAAAAACAGGTAAGAACTGTTTTAACAATACACTATCGGGAAAATTCCATATTTCGGCAAAACCAAGTACCGCAAGCAGTTTTTTAATTTTACATGGTCAGTTATTTGTGCCATTTTCACATTTGTCACGGGCATTTTCGTAAATGCATTTTAATATAATGTTATCCGTATTCAGTAATTTAAACCAATACTTTATTATATGTGTGTACCTAATGATAAATAACGGATACCTTCCTAATTCCCCGTAGACCGATACGTTACTTGTACTTAATTTAACGCCCAAAATCGTTTTACAGTATTTGAGATGTACACGTTCTAACTCTTTGGACTTAGTGAAGCCCCAAACCGGGCAGGCATAGTTTAAGATAGATCCCACAAAAGCATCAAACAATTGAAGCGATATCGAAGTGCTAAGTTCATATTGTTTTGTATTATTTAGCAGTATATTTGAGGCTTTTAAGGCCTTTCCGACTATGTACTGGTTATTTAATACGAATGAGCCGGTATAATTAAACACCACCCCTAGGTAGTTGAAGTCATTAATTATTTCTAGAGGCACATTATTGAAATGCCAGCGCTCATTACATTTTAGCCCACCCCTACGACGAAACACCACTATCTTGGTCTTAGATGTGTTGACGTGTAGGCCCCAGTACTGGCAGTACTCGTATAATTTGTCTAAACTGGCCTGCAAATCTTCAACAGAATGGCCAATAATTGCCATATCATCGGCGAATAGCAGTATGATAAGGCACATATCATAAATAGATAAACCTGATTTAATGGATCCTTGCAGGAAAAGTTCCAAGTCTTCAAGAAAAAGGGCAAACATGACTGGCGAATTATTTAGGCCTTGCCTCAATCCAATGGAAATATTGAAAAAGTCAAAATAGGAATCAGAATGTTTAACACAAGACTTAACTATATTATACATAGACCTAAACATTTTTAAAAGTTTTCCATCCAACCCAAGATGATACAATTTAAACCACAGTGCCTGTCGATAAACGGAGTCAAAAGCCTTTTGTAGATCTACAAATGCACATGACAAACGCGACCCTTGCGAAATAACATGTTCTATGAGGTTATGTAATGCAAATATAGCATCTACAGTGCTGTGACCCTTTCTGAAACCGAACTGGGCGTCAGATAGAATATTATAACTTTCGAACCATTTCTCAACCCTAGCTGTTAACACACCAGTGAATAATTTTCCAAGGTTACTCAAAAGTGTAATGCCCCTATAGTTGTTAGGGTCATTTTTACTTCCCTTTTTGTGGATCGGTATTATATAACCTTGTGCCCATATATCTGGGAAATAACCTGAATTAAAAACAATATTAAAAAGATCTGTTAGATGGCCTCCAATGATATCAATCGATTCGATTAAGTATTCATTTAAAATATTGTCACTGGGACATGGCGATTTGTTTCGGCCGAGTCGCTTGACTGCAGCGGTTACCTCCCCTAGTATGATAGGTAAATTAAGCTCACCGTATGTAGGATCATGTATATTTAAATCATTATTATCGTTAAAATTTTCAACCTCATTTATAACAGTTGTCGGAATATTATTAAACAAATCTGAAAAATAATTTTTAAAATGCTCTACTGTTATATCATTTTGACATGACTGATTATTAGATTTAAAATATTTCCAAAACTCACGCGGTTTACTTTTTCTTAACTCCGAAAGCTTCCTACCTTCTTTCAATTTGTAAGCGCGTTTTTTCTTGCGCACTATATATTTATACGTTTTACGCTGTTTGCAAAGTTCAATTCTATTTATTTCGGACTGGTTACTGTTATAATTGTGCAACGCGCGTTTATAAAGTATCTTATGGTCGACACATTCCTTATCATACCATATATTTAGATTTGCTTGGGAGGGTACATTATTTTTATATTCACGTTTGAACAGAGGCGACGCAACTTCCGAAATGATGTTTGTAAACATATCCACTGTGTAATCTATTCTATTTAAATCACTACAATCCGCACTTACAATAAGATTATTGAAATCGGGTAATTTAGCTATAAGGCCGCGCCGAAAGATTTCTTTGTGTTCCGTGTTCCATTTGTAAACTGTGTGAACGCGAGATTCATTGTTATTAACAATATCCTCCGTTAATGGTTTAATCGCTCGCATACCTAATCTCAAAGCAGCATGATCACTAAATATATTAAAGGGGCAAATTTCGAACATACTAAGCGTATCAAAATCGGGCTCTTTTAGAAGTAAATAATCAATTACACTATGCGCGCCGCGGCTATAATAGGTAAAACCACAAGAATTATCTAACTGGCCTAATCTCCCGTTAGCTACCCGCAAACCGGTTGCTTTACACAAGTCAAGCATTTTGTGACCGCGTGTATTGCACAAATTATCAAGCGAGGCCCTGACAAGGTTATTATCGGGAACATAAAAGTCAAGAAAAAAAAATCATTTACTGAGGATGTAAAATATTATATTAAGATGGTTGATAAAAATATAGTTTATTACACTTATTACCTTATATAGTAACAAAATGTCAATGATTTCAAGTGATTATGAGTGTCATGTAACCGATTATGAGTTTGCGGCCCGGGGCCGATAACTGATAAACACAAGCATTCCGTTGAACATGAGAACGTGCACAAACTGAAGCAATGATGGCATAAAACAGCTAGATGTAAAAGTTAAAGTAGGTTTTAAGCACGAATCGCTCTATTTTATGAGGAGAACTTCATTTTTTTTTCTACAAACATAGATATTCTTATTGAAATTTCAAGCAAAAAATATGACAAATTCAATCAGAGAAAATACACAAAAGTTGCATCTTTATTTTGAATAGTGTACTTTGTAACCACATAAGGGAAACAACTCTTTAGAGGTAACAGTACAGTAGAATCTACAGAGGCGGGAATTTCAACAAAAGAAATATCAAAGTAAAATTTAACAAACTGTTACTATTATATACAGTATATCAAGTGTATTAAATACATTAATACACATTAATGCCCTCGGGGCCAGTTTTCATGTTGCGGGCCAATTATCACCTTCAGGCGGTGTACTAATCTCTTAATACAACATACAGGTATAGAACATAACTAGTGTAAATTAAGTAATGGCCCAAATATCTAATAGCAATGACTAAAGAATAAACCAGTATAAAATGTTGATTGTAATTTGATAACACAACTACAAACCTTTAAAATAAGTTAAAGCGATATAGTAAACAAAACTTCTAAAAACGTCCGACATTATTTCTACGTATTAAATAATCCCCTTTCCTCACTTTAATAATTCAACTTTTAAATCCTGGATAAAATACATAAATTCCTGACGCTAACAGGAAGTAATGTAAGACTTCGTGTACTTTTCAGATATACATATATATCAACACTAGAGCATGAAATTAAGTTTTAAAGTTAAATAAGTAGTTTGAAATAAACCAAATATATTCATAGACATGATAACATATCATGAACAAGAAGTATCTTAAAAAATGCTCGCTCTCAGTAAAACCGGTTCACCTGAATAATTTTATTATTAAGCTATTACACATAGAAATGTTAGTAATGCTTGCATAACAATGACATGTTAATTTCTTGTAAAGTAAAAATATACATTTTCAAAAGAAATAAACTAAATTATAAGCAAATTGATATTGATGTATCTCTACTTTACTGTATATTTTAGGTATCCCAATTACGTTTAAACAGATATTTTTCAATAATGTGTAATATTGCAGGGTTAAAGTATAATACATATAATACGTTGAAACGGTTTTAAGTAATCGTGTTAACGTTTACAAAAATATAAACGTGGGGGCCTTATTTATAAACGTTATATCTGTCATTCAATAACATTGATTGTGTGGAAGTTTGGGGGTCTAAGCAAAATTTAAACTCCACACATATTAAGAGCAACTGAGTTTATACTTTAGAATTTCATATCTCACAATGTAAATTATTTTATATAGTTATTGCCATTTTAGATTGAAAAAGTATTACATTAACAATTTACGTCAACTCAAAATGAAAATTGAAAAGAAAGTTTATAAATGAGAACGATTTGAAAATAAATTTTCGGATTTGTAGCACGTATTTTCATTCTAAAATCTAAAAAACACGAAAATCCGAAAAAATATTTTATGTAATAGATGTCTCAAATTGACAGGATTATCAATAGTATGATTTAACAATGGTTAATAACCTTGAAAAACGGGACACTGTAAGATTTATGTGTTCCTAAAGGAACTTAGGGATTTCATTTTTTAACTACAACATATACGCAGTCGGTAGGCAATTTTGTTTAAATACTTGATTAATATACTGCTTTGCTGACTGTACGGACTTAACGTGAAGTGCCGCTCTCAGCAGAGTGAAATGCATAAGGATTTCGGCCTTCGGCAATGATAGTATCTTCCAAGTTTTTTTAAACATTTTTCTGTTTCTGATGCCATGTTTACAAATATATGAGAGTGGTAAATGTGTCAAACAATGTTAAATCATCCCCTTTACCTACCTCAACAATACCTGCAGACAAAGTTATGCCATCACCAGTGACCTGAAAACTTTCAAAATGCTTATGAAATTTTGAGGTACCATCTTGATGTAAGGTAAAAGAACCATTTATTAATGCCTGGGCAACATGCTGGTTTGCAACACTTTTAGCCTCAAGCAAGAGTCTGCTTTTCACACCAGTACTGGGCAGACGTGACAGAGCTTTTCCAGTGAGATTCTTTAAAGCAGTCTGCAAAACAAGATTTACTTTTGACTGGCTCACCCCACACTCTGTGACGAGAGTCATTACAGTTTCCCTGATCTCGTTTGAAAACTTTCCATCATAAAAAGTATCAATAACAGGGTTAGAAATCAATGCATTTACCTCTTGTAATCTTTTTGCATTTTTATCTTTGTTTGAAATTTCTAGTTTCAGTACACAAAATATATGAGAATTGATGAATATGCAAAACTATATATAAAAATATTAACATTAAATCAATTGAACACATCAATGAGCATACAATATATTGGACATTTATAGAACATCATAGACTAAGGTACCTGATAAATTCGAATTTTGTGTCTTTTTTTCGATATTTTGTATGAGTAAAATAACACGAGCGTGTAAGTTAAGAGTAGTATTATTATTTAAATAAAAATGTAATTCAATAAGTTCCAACGTAAAATTGTCTCAGTAAGATCTTACGTACAATAAAATGTTCACTAGAAAATATAACGAAATCTAAACGCAGTGTTAAATGGTGTGTGGGAGGTTAAACAGAACTAAACTATCTTTGCAATTTAACTAGAAAGTAAAAGAACTATCCTGTAGATTTGTTTCATTAGAACTATCCTGTATATTTTAATTTATAATGACAAAACCTATTTTTATATCTTGCTTTAGAATTACTATCGTATTTTATTTTCCCATAGACTTACATTATAAGAAATGGTCCCTGATCCTACCTTAAAACTGAGTTTTTTTGTGCTAAAGAGGTGATCCTTCTATGAGAATGAAATGTCTGACACATAAAAATGGTTATGTTGAATAAGACAATGACTTCAATGAGGTTGATCCCCCTTTTTATAGAAATAAATTGCTGATATATGACAATCATACCCTTTTATCTATACAAATATGCAAGTCACAAATTATCCTATAGACTTATGATATATTTAATTTTCTTGAAGAATAATGTAATGTTAGATTCTAAATTAGTTTCCATACTTTAAATATCCGATTTCTATGCTTACATCTCATATCACATTGAATCTTACGGTTTCCCACACTGTTTTCAGCCAATCGCTGGCAATGGTATAATCTGATTTAAAAAACTTTACTTTTGTATGGTAACAACTATCCTTTATATTTCATTCTAGAATGACCAATATGATTCCCATATTCCAGTTTCTAATTTTAAATTGAACAATGAGTATTTTTGTTTTCAAAGTACAGGCATTCAAATTGAATATAAGAATGATCTTACATAGATGTTTAATTGTAAATTCTATAAATTACCTTACATTACTCGAAATTACCAATTATATAATTCGAAATGGTGGGAGGAACATTCATTCCATATCTTATACATGTAAGAATGATACTGTGTTTCATAAATAATTTATATCAAGAAGATCTAAAAAATAAACAAAAAATATTTTCTTCCTTTAAGCCAAGAGTGCGATCGATCTATTGCAAAAACACTTTAAGCTTCTGAATATTCTATAGCACATAATGTTCTTTATCCAGTTTCATCCGAAATGAAAATTTGACAATCCATGTAAATACATCGCCAAAATGGCCTCTCATAATATATGTAAGTGTGACAAGTTAAGTGAATTAAATCTTGAAGAAAAATCATTTAAACCTGGAGTTGCCCATGTAGAGAGTTGGATGAATATATGAAGCCTCATTAGTGTTTCTACGGGTATGCTATTACAATAATTAATGCGAAAATCACTCAAAAGGTATCAAAAAGTGTCAGCGTTTTGTCAAGAAACATTTATTACTATTTGTTATGTATAGTGCGTTTTTATTTTTACCCCAAATGTTAGGCGACATGGTCCCAACTCTCAAATCTGCGATCAAGTGCTTAAGATCCAGATAATTGTGGGATGCCTCTGCTCCCTGATCCAGACTCTGATAATGTGATTTGTTAAAAATATAACAATAGAAAGATGCTTGAGCAAATTAAAACTTCACGATGAGTAGATCGTTTAGAAGATCAAAATACAATATCATTTTATGTTCGTGTGTTTATGTCCGTTATCGTTTTACACACATTTGCCAACAATATATGCTTATGTCAATGCATGTATAAATTTATTTTTCAACAGTCATATAAAAAAGCAAAACCTTAATTTAAGGTCATACATGATCTATGCAATAAGTACTTTATTTTTAGATCTAGATAAGTAATATATTTACTCTTCTGTTCACATAATAATGGTTTTGTTAGTTTGTTTGTCAGTTATTTTGCTAATTTTGGCATTCTTTTGTCATATCTCCCCGGGGGTCAATCAACCTTACCGTGTCTTTTTCTGGATAACCTGTCAGAAGTTTCCAATTTCTCCGAAAGTGATGGACTACTAAGCTTACATTATTTCCGAATCAGCACTAAAAGACAAATGACCATAAGACGCGATGCGATGTAAGAGATCGAGTTCCACATAGCAATCTTGCATCGCCTGTTGGTCGAATAGGCATCCATGCATTTGAAATTCGATGTCTTCGTATCATGCGTTTCCTTGATATAAACCACTTATTTGATAAATAAACATTTAGAGAAAAATTATGGATTATAAGTTACTTGATTTATAATAAATTTCTATACTTTTTATAAAGATGTATTGCCTATTTTGTATGGATTTGCTATTTTCTGAAACATAATTTTGACAAAGATATTGAAATTTGTTATTGTATACACAATAAGTTGTTTTGAAACAATTATGTTTAACACAAAGTCAATCATCACTACGGTATACAGTACCTCGAATATTGCTCGATATTATGAGGACTTTCATACCATCTCGCGACTTTGAACAGGGAACAAAGGTTAGTTCAGCGACGATATTTAGTCATTATGAATTGGTTTGATGTAAATTTTATAGACAGACATATGCTTCGATACTTTCTCTAGTCACTGAAAACAAATAAATGTTGAGATATACCTTTGAAATGTAATTACAGTTTCACCATGCTAACAACTAGGCCATTCGGCCGTTACATGTGCGTTTTAACAATCAGAAACTATACTTTTAATAAAAAAATCCTAAATATGTAAATGGTAATAATGCACTGAAGTTCAAAATCAGTTTCAGGCCAATTTCGCCAAACAGTTATGGTGAACATGTTTTATACAGGCACACTTGTGTTTACATTTGGATAGCTAGATTATGTAGGGGTTTCAGGTTATTAAGCTTATTTCTCACTGTCTGGTACATGAAACGGTGCGAATTTTCCGTTGTGTTTCCATCCAGGATTGAGAAAGCACAAACAACATTGGACAAGGAGGTGTTAGCCGAGCCTGATAAAGGTTTTGATGGGGTGCGATATGGACTTGATAAGAACGAGGCAAGTTTGAACCTTATATTGGTACATCAAGTGGTAAAATGCGAACGTGCATCGGTTATATTCTAGAAGATGTAGGCATGAAATGAACTTGTTTATCAATACATGTGCTATTACAAACTTAAAATGATTGAATTTGACAATATTAATGGAAGGAGAACCGTGTTGTACATTATGTAAAATACAAATATAACATTTTCATATTTTAATCTATATATTTAGTAGAAAATCTTTATATACATGTAGAGTTCTCTTCATGAAAGCTGATTAAAGAAAACAGTTCATT